TGTTGCCGAGTAGGAAAGATACTCAGCAGTGTCTTGCGCCTTTTTTTTTTTTCATTCTTCTCTCAATTTCATCTCACACTACCTACCTACCACTACTCGTAATTGTAGGCATACGGGGATTCCGAACCCCGTAGCAGCCAGAACCGTGTTCACGAGAGAACATGCGGGGGCTGCTCCCGACCTGCAGGTGGGCGATACCGGCTACAGCCGGTAGCATCAGGGACCATGCCAACAGGACCAATCCCTGTGCCACCCCTGGTCCCCTCCCCTACGAACATCAGCAGACTCTGCTCAATGCCGATCGGGGGATCCAGTGGTCTATCTCTAGGTGGCAGGCGCCAAGTATGCCCAGGAAGGTACATGAGGGCAGTGGGGATTGAACCCACGACCTCCTGAATGCCACTTGCGAGCCTTACCAATTCTCTCAAATTCTTTCATTGGCTTTCACTACCTTCCTACTACTACTCCTAAGACTATACAAGAGGGGACCCCTGCAAGCCTCGCACTGATGGACTTCTGTTTTTTTTTTTTTTTAAAGCCTAGCCCAACCATCTGGACAAGACGGCCTTTCAGGCCCTTTTTTATTGTCATTATCGTATTACGGGAAACCCCGTAGCAGCCACATCCCTGCTCAAGCCTCCCAACGAGGGAACATGCCGGAGCTGCACCCACTAGCAGCAGGTGCGATACCTGCTCCAGCACGTGGGCGATACCGGCCACCCGGTAACATCAGGACCGATGGGCCAGTCACTGCGCCTCCCCTCCGGTCCCCTTCCCCTATGCCACTCGGGGGACAAACGGCATATCTCTAGGTGGCAGGCGCCAAGCTTGCCCAGGAAGGTACATGAGGCGAATGGGTGTTAAACCCAAGACCTCCTGCATGCCACTTGCGTGACATACCAACTGAGCCGCTGGACTGATGGACTTTCCTGCTGCTTCAGTATCCAAACGAAGGATGTGAATTTTTTTTTTATGTGTGTCATCCATTCGCAGGGGCCATGCTAATATTCTCAGGGGAGGCACAGTGACTGGCCCATCGAAGAAGCTCGGTCCTGATGCTACCAGCTGACCCCTGGCCGGTATGTGACGAACTACTTCCCGGACCCGTGCTATCTTTCGTACCCTTTTCGCTTGTATCATACCCACCCCATAAAGACCCCGTTTCGTTTTCTTGATTTCGGGTGCCGCGTTTCAGGCCCCCATCTTCTGGAAGCTTTTGTGATTCTTTGGTTCTGTTTTTTTTTTCTTTCTGCACTACGGGAAATGCATAGGAATTTACACACGCCTTAGCGAGCGCACTGGGAATTGGGCCCGACAGTTGGGAATTCCGGGATAAGCGGAACTTCAACGTGTCTTTTTTGTGTGTGAATGTTCTCGGTCGCTTTGGGGAAAACTCTCGGAATTTTGTGGGGATACGAATAGGCGTAGGACTTTCTTTCCCCGCGTCGCTCTTTCGCGCGCGGATATGGTGATTTCAATTTTGAATTGGTTTAGGATGTAGGCAAGCTGTAACTGTTTCGGTGCCTTTTTCTTTTTTTGTTGACGGCACCGCGCATGCAAAGCTTTCTCCTCTCTGTCCCCCGCATCGCTCTCTCCCGCGCTCCTTTTTTTCCTTCCCCCTCTTCTTTCTCTGTCCTCGTAACTGTTTTTCTCCCTCTCTCTCTCTCTCTCCTGCCCTCCTCTTTGCGCGCCCATTTCCCTTTCTTGATCATCTGAATCTTGGTCTCTTATACACATCTAGATGTGTATAAGAGACAGTCTTACACTCCGAACGAAAGACAGCACAGTGCGTGAGGTTGGTATCAGAGCCGACAAGTGTCGGTTCTGATGATAGTAAGTCGAACTGGCGAGAGGTAGAAGAAGAAGTCCCCCACCCGCTCGCCGAGATCGGCCAGTGACCAGATCTATATCTGGTGCGGCTATACCGGCTATACCAATGGTAGACGGTAATAGGGTGATCGTTAGCATATCGCTTCCACGGAGCCCTCTTCTCAAAATCTTCTCCTCCTGCTTCGTTTCTTACACTTCGACTTTCCCCCTGCCTTATCTCTCCCTTGTCTCCCTCCTCGCCACTATAAATTCCGCAAACGCGCCCGCAAATCTCTCTTACGTTCTCAACTCCTGAGCCAGCTTCCGGGAAGCAGTGGYTAGGCAGAGTGTTTGGTGCGAKTCGGAAAGTCCTGTCGRGCTGACGATAGGCTGGCCGGTTGCGCKCTTGATCGCCAMGACRGACTGTGRGATCTGGGCGAACCGCGTCGAGTTTACGTCRGCGGGGTGACGATYGCARTGGTGGGAGTCAGCACGCGACGGCCGRGATCGTCGGTGYGGGTATGAGGATCGATGATTGGAGTTGAGTGAGTGATTGGCCTGGGGCCATATTGGAATTAACGGCGAATGCGCCTTTGTTGTTGTGGATCTTTATCTCTGGCGTGAGTGTACGGTAGCAACGCCGAACTTCCTCTTTTTGGATTTTGTCCTCTTCTATCTCGACATTCCTCCCTYGTCTCCCTGTCTCTCCTCTATCTTTGAATGATGATGTGTCTCGATGTTTGTCTCTCTCTCTCTCAAATGGGAATGAGTTTGCATGTTGTTCCAGTGTGAAAGAACTTCTTCCGAAAMTCTTCCATTAGTTTCCTTGGTAGTCCCCCTATGCAARAACCCCGTCTTCTTGTGGATGCGTGTGTATTATTCTGCGATCCATCTTTTATCCCTGTGCATATCTCATTTTCCCACCTTCCACAGTGAATGTATGTATGGAGGTACGCGTCTTTTTGCGTTGATTAGACGATTGTTGTTGGGATTTTGTTCGAGAATGCAAGAGTGTTTAGATMTGTAGTTCTGAATGCACTGCGCAYGCCATCTGCCTTATGCTGCACGACATCTGCAGCCGATCWACAGGGCAGCCTCGRGAAATAAGGCGCCTAGGATCAACACCGTGGTGGCTTACAGGAACCTTAGTCSCGGGTCGGTCCCTTAGTTACATGCATGATCCAGCTGACGAGTGTTTTCTCTCTCTCTCTCATGTCGAAAAGGATTGATTAGTGCTTGCGCGAGTGTTTTACCTTGATGAAGTCTTGGATTTTTTTCAATTGATTGACATGTGGACTGACAAGCACCCTTCGATCGGGTGTCAGCCTCCCGTACCTCCCGTATCAACACGGCCTTTTCCCTATAACGAGGAAAGGACACGTATCTGTGAGTGGGACGTACGAGAAGTTGTCGCACAAATCGGCGGACGATACTACTTCCCTCCGTCAAACCGCTGTTCAGGGTTCGTAGAGGCTGGGTTTGTCATTATCGATACKCACTTCCCACCTTACTCGATATTGTTGCCATTCAAGTTTCAACGAGTTRATCATCATCCCGTGGACGACAGTAGAACCCCATTGGCAGCGCACCCTATGCACCGAATGTCAGCGCTTTGAGCGCTACGAATCCAGGGGTTTCCACTACCGTGTGCGGAGTGAGGACGAACATAGAGAAAGAGCCACGCGATTAAGACCCTCCACGTTGGATTCAGAACTGGTCAGTGAACGACGACGAGACTTGATACGAAAGCGAGACACGCGAAGCATGCCGGAACCCTTCTGTTGTAAACGAYGGGCTGTAGCCAGGTGGGAAGTCCGACAATATTTTCTGGATTGAATTTGTATTTCTCTCTCCTCTCGCGCCAAACTTTCGCGCGCATTAAAACGATCAACTTACTTCATCGGACCAACACGGGGGATCTCAGTTTCGTYTGTGTYYCCACACTCAATTTCCAAAAATCCTTGGCACACCCCATCTTGTTGTTTTTCTGGACCTCTTTCCGCACATCTAGCACTCCGAACGAAAGACAGCACAGTGCGTGAGGTTGGTATCAGAGCCGACAAGTGTCGGTTCTGATGATAGTAAGTCGAACTGGCGAGAGGTAGAAGAAGAAGTCCCCCACCCGCTCGCCGAGATCGGCCAGTGACCAGATCTATATCTGGTGCGGCTATACCGGCTATACCAATGGTAGACGGTAATAGGGTGATCGTTAGCATTCCTGCCCCTTTTCCCTTCTTCCCTAATCATACCCACCCCGAAGCTTGGCTGGAAGCCATTGAAGCTCAAGGTTACAGCACGGGTGATTTTCCCCGCATTCTTACCTTGTTACTCCGTAATATGTCGCATGATTGGTTTAAAAAGCATACATGGGTAGATTGGAATACCTTCAAACAAGCCTTCTTGGCTCGGTTCGATACGGTCAGTGAAGATGCCGCCTGGTACGTGCTCAAAACTCGGCCACAAGGACCAGGGGAATTGCTGCCCGATTTCGTGGATAGATTTCAAACCACGCTGGACAAATCTRGGCRAGACGAGAAGTCCGCTCGAGATTTGTTCATTGATCATCTACGAAGTCCGACGTTGAAAGGGAAGTTACAGAAAACGGTCCCGCCGAAGACACACTAGCTGTTTGCTWTCATCGCTAAAGCATTGGAACTGCACCTCGCTGRTACAAAAAAATATATCGGTCAGGGAGACGAAGATATTACAGATACCATACAGGATGTAGCGGCTAAAAGGCGATCATGGTTCCGGGCGGTAGAACGGTTTTATCCCCGCCTCGACCATGACCTTCCCGACCGGATCGCTTCCGATATCCCGCCTGTTTCCTCTTCCTCTCCCCCGGCGAATCAACCGATAGCGGCAGTTAAGAGCGGAATCTCCCACGAACTCCCCTCGTCGGCCGTAACCAACTTACATTTTGCCCAAATGATCCATACGGCCACTACCAAGCAGTCCGAATGGATGAGCAACTTGATCCAAATGCAGGCCGCGCACATGGAGCGGATGGAACAGATAATAAGCAGGCTAATTAAGCCTAACCCGGCCCCTGCTCGGCCTGCCCCTGCGTCATTTCCACTCTTGCCTGCCCCACCTGCACCAGGATACCCACCTCAGTTCCCTCACCCAGCTAATCCAGTAGGAAAGGTCGAGTGTTTTAACTGCAAACAGCCCGGACATTTCGCCCGAGACTGTCCACAGCCAAAGCGCAATCAGCCCCCACCGGCTGCGGCCCCTGTTGCTCTAAACCAAGGACAAATGGCCGCATTGATGGACACGGCCCAAGGAGGAGAGCTCGTGGCATATGCCCCAGAACAGCCCTCCCCCTCGATGGCAACGACTTCGACAGCGAGAGCCTCTTCCTCTGACGCTGCTGACGTGGTCGATCCACTTGAGTATCTTYATCTCGCAGGCATGATCGGAGCGATCCGACTGGCCCCTGATGATCTCGAGTCGGTCGATCGCGATTCTAATCCCGGTCCACAGTTTAGGACGGGCGAGATCGATGTGTTACGAGCGCTCAAGCAGCTAGATATCCGCGTTCCGATCCCGGTGGGACACTTGCTCACCATATCTGAAGCTGCAAACGATAAACTGTTACAACAATGTCAGAAAAATCAAAAGCGCTTCACGTACCAACGCAWACAGCGAAYGTTGAAAAAGAAGGAAGGAGGCRAGGAAGTTGCACCGCCCGAACCCGAAGCCGGCGAGCCCAAAGCTTACCGAATAGCAGCTTCGTACGAGCTCGGCCGGTACTATGGAAGAGCGGAATGTGATTGTGAAGTGTGGGGCAAGCCGTTTAGCGCCCTTATTGACATAGGGTCTTCTGCAGTAGCCATATCATTAAACACTGTCAAAAAGACGGGACGACTCGGATCCATTCTTCCTCAATCTGGCAAAGACAATGGTGTCTCTGCCGACGAGGAAGCAATGAAAATCATGGGTGTTATTGAGAATGTAGTTGTGAAGGTCGGACGAGTACACGTCCTGGTTAACGCACTAGTAATAGATGTGCCTTCCTATTCTGTGTTGTTAGGATTACCTTGGGCGATGGCGGTAGGGGTCCGTCTGCACTTCGATTCAAAACAGCTGGTGCTCACGCAAACTGGGGGAAAGCCTCAAACTGTTCCCTTGCGAATTTCCACCCGAATAATAAAACGAACTCCTAACTCAGCCCAAATAGGGATGATTCGATGCATTGATACCGAGGAGTATTCTTCCTCGGACATCGGCAGCGGAATCGGGGAACATGAATACGAAGAAGAATTGCCTAGTGAGGATGAATTGAAGCACCTGGTCGAACTTTTCGAACACGAAATTCCCGAAGAATTTCGAGTGTACCCCGACACAGGCCGAAGCTTCCACGTGGATTCAGGAGACAGCATGCTTACGCCTCCGAAAACCCAGGTCAGTCCTTCAGTCCTCCTTGGGGAACCCATATTACAAGTGTCTGACCTGGCTGATGATTTGGAACCCCCTCGTACCTTGTACGAGGGAGCACTTTCCTTACGAACACGTTATCAACAAACGAAACGGTATCTAGACGTTTCTGTTTTCCCGCCCAGATCGTTACTGACGACAGGGGCGACCATCGCCTTGATTAAACAAAAGGCAGAAGCATCGGTACATGATGTGCCTGATCTAATGCAGGAGATGACGGACTTAATAGGACTAACTGTGGAGCAGATTTCGGCAGACTCAGAAACTGAYGCCGAAGCTAAAGAAACCGAAATGATCAGCCCCGTCGAATCACAGATGATTGCGACTGTCTTCTCTGTTCGCACCAGTAGTTCCGTCTTTTCAAGTGTCTACGATCGAAGGGAGCGGCCGGTTGATTGGATCGACATACCCCTTAAGACTCTTGGGAAATCAACGATCACCCTACCGAGCCACGTCCCCACGGAACTACGAAAGTCATTAATCAATGTTTTGAACGGTTATGCAGAAGTGTTGAGCGTGCATGATAATGATATCGGCTTGACTAACGTGATCGAGCATGACGTCCTCACAGAAGAACATCCGCCCATTAGCTGCGCTCCTTACCGATACTCGCCAACTCAGAGAGCGGCCGCTGTTCAACGAATTAAAGAATTCGAAGCAAATGGATGGATCGAACCCGCTATAGGTCCGTGGTCTTTTCCCGTAGTAATCATGCCTAAAAAGGCCGAAGGGATTCGCATTTGCATTGATTATCGAAAATTGAATGATATCACGATCAAAGATGTGTACCCCCTCCCCTGGATTGATGAGTTATTGGATGCAATTGGGAGTGCTCGATTTTTTTCAGTAAGTTTGATGTTCGCCATGGGTTCCATCATCTTCTTGTCCGAGAAGAAGATCGTCCGAAAACGGCGTTTGTGCTTTTCGAAGGTACGTGGCAGTGGATTCGATGTCCGACGGGTATTTGCAACGCCCCCGCGACCTTTCAGCGAGCCATGAATATGRCTTTTCAGAATTCCGTACAGAAGACTCGTTTGGTGCAGAGCATCATCAACTACTGCGTGATTGTGTACATGGATGACATTCTGGTGTACTCGAGTTCCTACGAGGAACACGTGCAGCACATCGAGTGGGCGCTGCATGCGTTACGCAATGCGGGTTTCAAGGTGGCGCTTGAGAAGTGTCAGTCTTTTCTTACCACCATTTCCTTCTTAGGACACGTGGTGACGGACAAGGGGCTCCAACCGGAGCCGCAGAAGGTGGCAGCTGTCAGAGATGCGCCGGTGCCTACGACTATCACGCAAGTTCGCGCCTTTCTAGGTCTAGCCTCGTACTACCGAACATTTATCAAGGGCTTCGCGGCGATCGCGGGACCCTTCACGAATCTGCTGCACAAAGATCAGCCGTTGATCTGGACGACGGAGTGTGATCAAGCGTTTTCGAAACTCAAGGCCGCTCTCATTTCGGCTCCGGTCCTTATAAGACCGGATCCCGAAAAACCTTTTGTTCTCATCACTGACTGGCAGCCGGAGGCGATCTCGGCGATCCTTGCCCAGGTGGGACAAAGTGGACTCGAGAGCGTGGTGGAGTATGCGCCCAAATCGGTGTCCGCCTGCAAGCGTAACTACGCCGCTCCGACGGGAGAATGCTACGCGGCTCTTTGGGGAATCAGTCACTTTCGCGCTTACCTGTACGGGCGGAAGTTCACCTTGGTAACCGATCATGAGCCCCTGTTGGCTCTGAAGAAATTGAAGGATTCCTCTGGCATGATCGGGCGATGGGCAACGGTGCTACAGAGCATGGACTTTGACATTCATCATCGAAAGCACGAGAGACACGGGAATGCAGACGGACTGACACGACTGCACCGGTCTGAGAAAGTTCTGAAGAGTGAGGAGGTGATTCCGTGGAACGAACCCGAACAGGAGGTTGGACCTCGGTACGACTAAGTGGAGATCTTGTCAAAGCAGTAAGAGACATGAGGATCAATTTGTCTGATTCTACCCTCTCCCCAATTCGGTCCCATCTCTCCTCCTCTGCCATCATGACTACCCCACCTATCTCTGCAACCCCTTCTTCTCCTACTAATTCTGCCCCTCTCACTTCCTCAACTTTCTTTACCACCCTCCCCGATAAATTCTGCTATTTTTGTACGTGTATTGCACGGGTTTATGGGGTCGACTGTCATCTTTTCGAAACCGGGTTTGTCGATTGGGTAGAATGTGTCACGTGTGTCAATCGTGCACATGGGGCCTGCGTTCGATATCGGACAAGTAGCAAGGAATGGAGGTGCCCCCTGTGTAGAACGAACAAACTCCCCACGGAGGTTCGATTCGAGGCCGCCCGTACGGACGGCCCTGAATACGACGAAAAATACTGACGAGCGGAGGTTTTGACGGATAAAATTTTATTGGCAAAATTAGCGGGATTATCATGGGACACCTCACCAAACACGACAGACGTAGGGCAACCGAGAGATCTCGGGACTATCGGTGGATCAACAATCACATGGAGAAGCGTAAAACTGACGGATCGGGTTCGTGGCTGACTGTTCCCCATCCATTCCAGAGATATGATTGGATCCGATCGGCTCACGAAGAACAGGCCGCTCATTTCGCGATACGTGTCACGGAGGCAACTATAGACCAGAACCGATGGTTCTGGTCCAACATACGACATGATGTCAGATACATTGTCGCCAACTGTCTGGTCTGTGCTGCTGATCGCGCCCCAATACGGGGACCAAACACGATAGTACCAACGAAAGTAGAGCGCCCCTTCCAACGAGTCAGTATGGACACAACAGATATCGACATGCCACCTTACCCAAATCGTTGTGAATATTCTATCCTGTTAGTGTTAATAGACCATTTTTCCAAGTACATCGAGGTCTATCCCTATAAGACCCGAAAGGCCGCAGAGATAGTCATGTACATTGAACGATTCCTCTATACCCATCTAGATACGGAAGAAATTCTAACCAACAATGGGTCCGAATTTAAGGGAGAAGTAGAGGAACTGCTCGCACGAAGGGGCGTCACGCTCCGACATACGGCACCCCACGTGTCCCAGTCGAACGGGTTGGCTGAGAATGCCAACTATATGATTAAAACCGGCCTTCGCAGGAATTTAGCGGCACACGACACGCGTCCGTGGCCCGAGATCGTATATCAGATCGTCGGGATCCACCGGGCGCCCTCTCACGAATCCACGGGGTTTACCCCTTTTCAACTTCGTACTAATAGCCTCCCCTGTGTCGACTACCGGGTTAACTCGGAAATTGCCGAAGCAGGGGGTAGAGACACGCGTACAGCTCTTAAGGCCAAGGCCAAAAGGTACACCGAATTAATGGAGCGGGCCGTCCCGAAGCTAGCCTAAAAAACACAAAGGATAACCGATGTGGCCCACGGTAGGCAGGTCTGTAGCTATGAGGCTCGGAATGGAAATGCTGGGCCCCAGCATCAATATAAATTAGGGGACCTAGTGCAAGTACGTAAATGTGCACGCGACCGCAAACTCGCTCTCAAGTTCTCTGGCTGCTTTCGCGTTGTCGAGCTCGGTCCTAACGGCGCCAACACGGTGCGCACCGCGCCTAAGGCTAGTACCAACCATAGGTCTGCCCCCATCGTCCGGCATACCTCCTACCTTCGTCCTCTTCCCCCCTCTCACCTTCCTCCTTCTCCCTCCTCCGAAAGCGAGGAGAACGACGACGATCTAACTCTCTCTCCGCTCTCTCCCTCCCGCCCTTCGTCTTCCTCTCCGACCTCGCCACGAGTTTCATCACGGAGCGGGCTCTTGACGAACAGCTGTTGCGGCCACGTGGCCACATCTCGAGAATTCAGCAAGTTTGTCATCCACGGCTCAATACGGATCTTCGGCGTTTGGCGCAGTTCTTCTGCGACGTGGATGTGTGTGCCGCCGCCTCGTTTCGATTCGAAGGGAGCTCACAGGCAGTGGTACTGGCGGAGGTAATAACAGTTCATCGGCGAGCGGCTCCCGGAATAAGCCACGTCACCACGGTTGCGGCTTTCAGCGGGGACATCAGCTCGCTCAATCACAGTGGCATACCGCGATCTTGGCCTCGCTGCGAGAGTGGACGGAGCAGGTGTCCAACGTGTGGCAGCACGGTCTTGCTCGACCAGGGTATAACCTCATCTCGACCTTTGCACCGGATCTTGGCGAGATCCGCCGTTCTCCGCGCGAGCCGCCGGTTGCGATCCCCACCCTCGTCCCTTTCCCACGTCCCCAATGAACCACGCCGATCCCCTCGCTCCTCTCTCCATCTTCGGTCTCCCCTCTCTTTTCCCCACCTTCTGGCAGTCCGATCTTCATCCTTCTCTTTCCTTCTCTTTCGAGCCTCTTTCTGTCCCGCTTATAAATCTTGGGCATTGGCGACTGTGGCGCGACTTTTAACGAGCTGTCCTTCTGCTTGGCCCGAGTACAAGTGACGTGGACGCAGACCAACGCGTGGATCGAAAATTTGGAGTTGCTGATCATACAAGCTTGGAGAACTAACGTCGAGGTGACCTTCTCGGCTTTCTCTTTGGATCGGTACGGCCGGGCCGTCGATAGTTGATTGCGCAGGAGCTCATTGCGCCGATCGTACAATTGGCGGACGATCTCTCGCCCGACATCTTTTCGCAAAGTGACGACAGCCCCGCTCCGTACGTTCTCGAGCGGTCGTTGGATGCGTACCTTCAGTGGACTGCGTGCTTGGAGGAACCTAGGGATGAAGATACACTACCATCACGGCAGGAGTATCTGAAGCCTTACGACATCATCCCTCACGCCTTTTTTTTGAAGGCGGAGGAAGTGGTGATCGACGACGATGAAGAAGACAACGACGAGGAAACATCGGAGGAAGGAAGCTATAGTGAGTATAGTGAGGGCGAGCTGAGTGAAGAAGAAGAGGAGGAAGAAGAAATCGGATCTGAGTGGGAAGCTCTGCCGGAGGAAGCTGCGCGCACGGGCATAGAAGCGGAAGACCCTGAGGCCGCTCGCAAGCGGGAAGAAATCGCCACCGGGAAGCGCCAGCTGGAGTTAGCCATCGGAGTAAGCCTGCGCATCGGTGACGATCCGACCAAGAATCCGGAGCCGCCGAAGCCCGAAGATGGCGACCCCGCAGCCGCCTCCCCAAGCACCTCGCGACGGAGACGGAGCAGATCCCCCTCCTCCTCCATCCCCACCCGTCCCCCAATTCGCCCACGTACCAATGCGGGCGATAGGCCTTCGTCCTCGGACATTATCCCGCCGACCCCTTGATTTTCTCACCCTCGAACAGATCCGCACCCCCGTCACCTTTCCCCTCCATCCCTTCCTTCCCCATCTCTTCCGCGACTTCTACTCTACCCGCCTACTCGCTACCGTCTACCCCCACCCATCCCTTTAGCCCGCTGCCCCCACGTTTTGCTGGCATATCCTGCTGTTCAGCGCTGCATGGGAGCGATGCAACGCGGTAGAAGTCTACTGCGTAGCCACGGGGACAATCCCCGCCTGTCGCCACTACGAGTTCTTTCGAGCGGCGCTCCTCCGCACCCTCTCCTCCTTCTATCGCGACTACCTCGCTTCCCTCCCTCATAGCGGCAATCGCTTCCCTCGCTTCCACCGGATCATCCGATATGAGGAGCTTCCGGTGACGATGGAAGGGATGAATCGCTACCTACCCCCACTTCCTCCCCGTCGTCCCCGTGAGCTCCCCTCCATGTACCGCCTCTACTGGCCCATTCCAACTAGGCGATAGATCCCGATCACATGAATATTCTCCCCCCCCTCCTCTCTTCATCTAATCGGCAGGGAAAAACGGCACGGATCAGTAAGCTTTGCGAAGATCACGCCATCGACGATGACGTCTACCTACGCTATGATTCAACGGCCAGTGACGAACTGGGATGTAGAGCACACGGAGAACCGGCGGACGATGATGGCGTCACCTCGACGACCATCGATGATTCCAGCAGCACGATGGCAATTGAAGATGGCGTCAACATCGGCCCTGGCTGGATCGTTTGTTGATACACTTGGTTCCTCATGCATCACTTAGTTCTCTTTCTCCCTCTCTCCTTCTCCGCCATGACATGCAATCAAGAGATCGCATAATTTTGGAACCCCCTGCGCGTCACATATATCACGAACTACTTTCCGGCCCCGTGCTATCTTTCATACCCTTTTCGCTTGTATCATACCCACCCCATAAAGACCCCGTTTCGTTTTCTTGATTTCGGGTGCCGCGTTTCAGGCCCCCATCTTCCGGAAGCTTTTGTGATTCTTCGGTTCTGTTTTTTTTTTTCTTTTTGCACGACGGGAAATGCATAGGAATTTACACGCGCCTTAGCTAGCGCACTGGGAATTAGGCCCAACAGTTGGGAATTCCGGGATAAGCGGAACTTCGACGTGTTTTTTTTGTGTGTGAATGTTCTCGGTTGCGTTGGGGAAAACTCTCGGAATTTTGTGGGGATACGAATAGGCGTAGGACTTTCTTTTCCCGCGTTGCTCTTTTACGCGCGGATATGGTGATTTCAATTTTGAACTGGTTTAGGATGTAGGCAAGCTGTAACTGTTTTGATGGCTTTTTCTTTTTTTATTGACGGTGCCGCGCATGCAAAGCTTTCTCCTCTCTGTCCCCCGCATCGCTCTCTCCCGCGCTCCTTTTTTTCCTTCCCCCTCTTCTTTCTCTGTCCTCGTAACTGTTTTTCTCCCTCCCTCTCTCTCTCTCCCGCCCTCCTCTTTGCGCGCCCATTTCCCTTTCTTGATCATCTGAATCTTGGACCCGTCTTGTGCTGCTTCTCGCGCCTTTTTCCTTCCCATCCTCTGAATTCAGCGYATGACGCACAGTYGATCCCTCRAYAACTCCYGCTCGCCAATCAGGTACGTGGATCAATAGGATCTCCCTATTGCGCGACGAATCTGATTGGTTGAACCATTGAGTCTTGAGGGATCAACATCGCTTCCACGGAGCCCTCTTCTCAAAATCTTCTCCTCCTGCTTCGTTTCTTACACTTCGACTTTCCCCCTGCCTTATCTCTCCCTTGTCTCCCTCCTCGCCACTATAAATTCCGCAAACGCGCCCGCAAATCTCTCTTACGTTCTCAACTCCTGAGCCAGCTTCCGGGAAGCAGTGGYTAGGCAGAGTGTTTGGTGCGAKTCGGAAAGTCCTGTCGRGCTGACGATAGGCTGGCCGGTTGCGCKCTTGATCGCCAMGACRGACTGTGRGATCTGGGCGAACCGCGTCGAGTTTACGTCRGCGGGGTGACGATYGCARTGGTGGGAGTCAGCACGCGACGGCCGRGATCGTCGGTGYGGGTATGAGGATCGATGATTGGAGTTGAGTGAGTGATTGGCCTRGGGCCATATTGGAATTAACGGCGAATGCGCCTTTGTTGTTGTGGATCTTTATCTCTGGCGTGAGTGTACGGTAGCAACGCCGAACTTCCTCTTTTTGGATTTTGTCCTCTTCTATCTCGACATTCCTCCCTCGTCTCCCTGTCTCTCCTCTATCTTTGAATAATGATGTGTCTCGATGTTTGTCTCTCTCTCTCTCTCAAATGGGAATGAGTCTGCATGTTGTTCCTGTGTGAAAGAACTTCTTCCGAAAATCTTCCATTAGTTTCCTTGGTAGTCCCCCTATGCAAGAACCCCATCTTCTTGTCTTGTGAACGGTGGATGCGTGTGTATTATTCCGCAATCCATCTTTTATCCCTGTGCATATCTCATTTTCGCACCTTCCACAGTGAATGTATGTATGGAGGTACGCGTCTTTTTGCGTTGATTAGACGATTGTTGTCGAGGTTTTGTTCGAGAATGCAAGAGTGTTTAGATATGTAGTTTTGAATGCACTGCGCATGCCATCTACCTTATGCTGCACGACATCTGCAGCTGATCTACAGGGCAGCCTCGAGAAATAAGGCGCCTGGGATCAACATCGTGGTGGCTTACGGGAACCTGAGTCGGGTCGGTCCCTTAGTTACATGCATGATCCAACTGATGAGCGTTTTCTCTCTCTCTCTCTCTCGTGTCGAAAAGGATTGATTAGTGCTTGCGCGAGTGTTTTGCCTTGATGAAGTCTTGGAATTTTTGCAATTGATTGACATGTGGACTGACAAGCACCCTTCGATCGGGCGTCAGCCTCCCGTACCTCCCGTATCAACACGGCCTTTTCCCTATAACGAGGAAAGGACACGTGTGTGTGAGTGGGACGTACGAGAAGCTGTCGCACAAATCGGCGGACGATACTACTTCCCTCCGGCAAACCGTTGTTCAGGGTTCGTAGAGGCTGGGTTTGTCATTATCGATATGCACTTCCCACCTTACTCGATATTGTTGCCATTCAACGAGTTGATCGTCATCCCGTGGACGACAGTAGAACCCCATTGGCCGCGCACCCTATGCACCGAATGCCCATGCTTTGAGCGCTACGAATCCAGGGGTTTCCACTACCATGTGCGGAATGAGGACGAAGATAGAGAAAGAGCCACGCGATTAAGACCCTCCACGTCGGATTCAGAACTGGTCAGTGAACGACGACGGGACTTGATACGAAAGCGAGACACGCGAAGCGTGCCGAAGCCCTTCTGTTCTAAACGACGGGCTGTAGCCAGGTGGGAAGTTCGACAATATTTTCTGGATTGAATTTGTATTTCTCTTTCCTCTCACGCCAAACTTCCACACGTATTTTGCGACGCTCGAAAAATGATCGACTTACTTCATAGGACCAACACGGGGGATCTCAGTTCCGTTTGTGTCCCCACACTCAATTTCCAAAAATCCTTGGCACACCCCATCTTGCTGTTTTTCTGGGCCTCTTTCCGCACATCTAGCACTCCGAACGAAAGACAGCACAGGGTGTGAGGTTGCGCGTCTACCGGCTGACCCCTGGCCGGTATCGCCCTCTTGCTGGTGGGTTCCTGCATGTTCCCTCGTTGGAGGCTTGAGCACAGATGGTGGGGAGTAGCACCTGCTGGAGACCGAGTCCGGCCTCCCTGATGTTTACAGAGTCACATAATAGAACATAAGATGCTTGCTGCCTCTTCAGACACATATAGTCTGCCAGATATCATCAAAAGAAACTAGCAGCCATATCCTCAACATTTTGTGTCAGACCTCAACCCCCCCCCAAACCATTGTAGATCCACCAAAGCAAGCTCAGAGGGGGGGAAAGGATTAGAAAATGATTCTGGAGATCTCAATGAAGGTCATTGTTGGACATCGAACCAGTCTTGGAAGATGATCTGGTAATCCGTCTTAAAGGACACCTCATCCCCTTTCCCTCCTGGCCAAAGCACATCCCCCAGTCGCTTCCCTGATACATCCCCCAGCCAGTCGAGTGTGAACTAAGTCTTCTGAATTCTCAGTTTTATCAACTTTACAAATTATTATTTTTGTTTCAATGCAGTGCTGTCAGGATTGCAGGTCAGTTTTGATTCTCAGCCAGTGGGCTTGGATCTCTGTTTGTATGAACTGTTGAATTAGTTCTGACATTTCCTTACCTTCAATTCTTACTTCTTCCAATGCATGCACACACCTCTTGTACCATAAGACCCATAAAACAGCTTTCTTCATACATTAAGTAAGTTCTGCTGAAAATTCGATAAGGAAAGCAAAACTGGGGTCCAGTGACCCAGCAGAATCGCCCGCTAATCCCAGAGCCACTCTAGACCTGTCAATCTACGCCATACATAGTCCCAGCGTCTCCACATCTGCTCATCCAACAAAACTGCATTCCCAGGTACCGTCAACATCTACGGTGGTCAACAATCAGCACCAGCATCATAGATCAGAGTTTGTGGGACCAGGGAAGCTATCCGGGTTCGAGAACAGCATCACCGGTCCAGGTGGTCCTCCCAGTTCCGCTTCCTTTCCCTGTGATTGTATATGAGGGTGGTGATTGCCCAGCCACAACAGGTTGTGCACCCTCTCTTGCTGCACCCTCGGGAGCCCAACCAGCCGCTGCAGTCATCACGTACGCGAACCTGCGCAAACATCACACTCTGTCGCATACCATAACATCCAAATCGCCCAAAAGATGACTGCCCGACCTGCTTGTGCCACGTATCCCCACCCAAATTCATTTCTCAAGTCTGGTGTGAGTGGCCACTGGCCAGTCATTGCCCATCTCTTCGGATTCTTCCCAACTGTCAGTGGATGTTCTGAATTCCAGAAGGTTCTCCAGGTGTTTATTCCACCAGTTCCACCAGAATGCTGACTTTCGACACTCCCACAGTCCCACCAAAGGTGTATGAATATGATTCAGAGTCTTCAGACACTTTGCCACATCTCCCACATATCAGATTAGCTGGGATG